ATATTGTACACACCAAATATAATACATTTACAGTATGCATTAAACTTCAAACATTTTATTCGTGTGTGATATATTTAAAGCATCCCATGACTTACGGGGGTCCAGGTTTAAAGGGGCCTCCCATGGGGGACATTGGTCTCATCATTCCTCCCCTCATTGGACCTCCTCGTCCTCTCATGTTCCTAGAGGTAAGAAAAAGTCAGCAATCACACAGAGATGGTTATATGGTAAGGAAACACTGTAATCTCCTGGGTATTTCAATCTTATAATTCTAACATGTTTAATTCAAGCAATTTTTTTTTTCAAATAATGATGCTTTGATTCCTTTCAAGAAACATTTAGCAATTATATTTGTAATTCTATACTATATTGTAATTCTTGCCAACACATCACCTAATAGTCCGAAAAATCTGATGTTTTCCTGGTCTTTTTACGATTTTGATATTTTACGTGCCAGGAAAATGTCAGAACTGACGCCATTACAAAAACTGGGAAATTGCCATCTCCACTGAATAAAATTTCAAAGTCAAAAGTTATCAATAGTACAATACTTAAAGAACTTACATATATAGTTTTTATGGTTCTGACATCTATGAAATAAAAAAAATCTGTTGAAAAAAGTTTTATCCCACTGTAGATTTTTCTTCATTTCGGACATTTTAAAATATTGCATCTCCTATTAGGCCAGATAAAATTAATCTTTAGATTCTCATCCCCGCCCGCCCCTCTCAAAATGTCCCGCCCCGGCGTTTTTTATTTTGATTTTTGGGTGTTAATAAAGATATTTTCATGTATTTTTATTCAGTAAGAATTTAGATGAAGTTTAAGAGTTATCTCCCGTCTGTATTAAAAGTCGCGTGTCGCTATTTATAGCAAAAGATCCATGTGAAGGATGGAGAAAAATCGGCAATAAAAGCAGTTAAAATATGTAAGGAAAAGATAATTTGTCAGTATAGAGAAGGCAGAGAAAAAATAATAGCATAAACACATCTAGATACCATCACTGCCATTCATGAGCAAGTTTTTAAAGATTTTTTAAAACTAATTATAAAAATAGACATGGAAAATGACACCTGGTCAAGTTTAAACGATCTCCAACTGTGTGTGATTTTGATTTGAACAAAAAAAATAAAACATCGTAGGCAGGCTTTAAAGAATGTTTAGTGCTAAGAAAATGTTAAATATCAAACCTGTTCAGGCCTCGGTTTTTTGGTAGGATATTTTATTAGAATATTTTATAGATTTTGTAAACATGACCTATTTTAAGTTAAGTCTCAAGTTTTATGTTAAGTCTCAAGAACGATCCAATTTTTGAGGAAGGTGGAAATCTATGATATTTTACAGAAAACAGAGGGATTTGTAGGTAAAACTAAAGGGTCTATAGGGAAAGGCCGATGAGAAGTCATGCATACAAAATTTACTGATATAAGAACCCCACCTCAATTTGTTTTGCGTGTGCCGTACGTATACGTGTACTTGATAATTTGTTAATTAACAATAAATATCTAATAATTTAAGCAAGAATATAATTTTCTTTAAAATATTTAAAAGAATAAATGAAAAAAATAAAATTTATTCATACTGGCATTAACATAATGAAAAAATGTGTACGAAGAGTCCATGTTCTGTTAATACTTACAATTTAACAATTATAAAAAATAAAATCCGCCCACCCGCCCCAATTTTTTAGCAAATTAGGATGAGAATCTAAAGATTAATTTTACCTGGCCTTAGTATTACGAAATGTGGAGTGATATTTTCTTTTCATCGATATTGGTGAGTACTAGAGGCATTGTGCTTTCAATAAATTCTGATTTCAACATTTAGTTCGGTTAACAAATATTGAAAATCAACTCTGGTTGAAGAAGGCGAAATGTCCAGTTTACGTAATGGCGCCGGTTCTGACGTTTTCCTGTCACGTAATAGATAGTTTTCGATAGGCCTGAATTTAGCGAAAGTTACCTCCCGTTGGCCGCCATATTGGAGGTCGACTCAGTGATTTTCCCTCTTTGTCTTACCAAGTTTAAGAAAGTATAGAAGAAATATTTGGTGGAAAATCTTTATCAAATAATTTTTTTTAAATAAGGGAGGCTTCCAAAAATTCATATACTTCAGAAAAATAATGATTTCTAATTCAAAATAGCAAATATAAAATTTTTTAATTGGTTGAACAATGAAGGAATATGAGCATTTGGACCTCCAGTATGGCGGCCAACGGGAAGTAACTCTTGGTCAATCGAAAACTATCTATATATCAAAATCGTAAAAAAAGACCAGGAAAACGTAAGATTTTTCGGACTAATCACAGGTCTATGTGTTTATGTAGTTCACTGTTCCCCATGTGATGATCACAAAGTTGTAAAAGTGGAAATAAAAATTCTGACTTTATCAGGCAACATTGTCACAAGAATATTCAAGAAAAAGTTCAATATTGTTTACAAAATTTGCTTTTGAGATCTGTAAAAGATTTGTCACTCACCCGTCACCGACTCTCTTCAAACTAAAGAATTTTACAGTTTACTGTGTTTACGTATTTAAGTGTAATAAATGAAAATGTACAATTCAATGCACATAGTGCATAAAACACAGCTTTACCTCATCATTTGTATGGATCTTTTGCAGTGTAAGCTTTAATGATAGACAAAACAATCACAATGAATGTGTTGACGCCGAGTGCTTTTACTCCGGATGTAGAATTAAAGAGAAAATAGATGCCGAGCCCGATCAAAATAGGAATAAGTGATTTTCAGCCAGTGACATTCACTACTAAATAATAATAAGGGGAGAAACCAAAACAAAAGGCGAACTAAAGGTTGTTCTTACCGAAAAATTACAGTAAACTGTTTAAATTTTGTGATATTTTATCCCTCATAAATGAGGACTTGTAGAATGTGATTAATTTAAGGTACTCTGATCCTCAGCTGGGAAGGATAATTCTTAAATTTGTAATTGTGCTTCAAGGTTCTTTCAAGTCCTCAGAAAGGTTTTATGAAAAGTCAAAATTTTTATGACATTTATAATTGTTTTAAAAGTGCATATATATCATGTATGTTGAAAGAAATTGATTTTTTTTAATCTAATGTTTTTATCAACATTTCCTGAATTTTCCTATTTACTTAAAAATGGAGAAAAATCGTGGGTAAAAACACATCACTTTGAGAATTCAGAGACATTTTTGTGAGCATATAGTCAATGCCTGATTTTCAGAACCTGGGGATCGAGGTACCTTTATTAAAAATATTACTGGGTATTTTTGAGTTTAAATAAAACTAAAATAATTAAAAATAGGAATTATTAATTTGATGTAAAGGAATTACCCCCACCCTTTTTCTCTCTTCAAATATGGTAAAATGTAAATAACTTCTTCATTCTTTTTGCAAATCTCATTTCAAAAATTATCCAATAATTTTTTCTCTCTTAATTTCTATTTTATATACCATTTCCATGATAATGAATGTCATAAATATCACGATTTTGTTTTACTTAATGAAGAATTAGTTGTGATATATTTAATATTTTCGTATAGTTATTCAGAGGGTTTGTAGTATTATTTCAATTCAAATGTCTCTAACATTAATAAATAGAGTCATGGGAAACATAATGTTCATCTTCAAGTAAAAGTTTGATTCAAATTATAGACATATCAAAAATCAAATTTACTTTCGTAAAGTTTAAAATATGTCTTGTAATTTAGTTTTTAAAAAACTAAAGATTTCACAATGCGAGTATCTTTTTTTTACTTATGCAAGAATAGAAATGATTTTCCGTCGTGGTTTCCATTATGAATAAACGTTACATGTAACAGGAGTACCAGGATTAATTGTTCCTCCTCTCCTTCACCTTGTGAACGATCTTCCGTAGATATAAAAAAAAATATCAATGCATGAAATAACCCCCACCCCACCCGATTATAAGGTCACATGAGTAAACTCAGCTATTCGTTTTCTATAGGGCACCGTTTTGGTATTTACTGCCAAAAAGTGATATCACCTATTCGAATTGATGAAATCACACCTATTTGATTTGAATTGGTGATATCACCTATTCGAGTATGTGATATCACCTATTTGATTTGAATTGTTGATATCACCTATTCGAAAAGGTGATATTCCTTATTCAAATAGGTAATATCACCTATTCAAAATCTGAATAAGTGATATTACCTATTCAATATTGAATAGTTGATAATATTAAATGGGTGATATCACTTATTCGAATATATTTATGAAATAACAACAGCTCCCAAGACTATATGTCCCTAAATCTTATTCATTTTAACTTTCGTTTTAAAAATCGTCATTCTAGGAGACAATAGATTACAGTTTTGTATTTAATTTTAATCAACCCAAATAGAAATTGTAGTTTGTTTTGCTCACATATTGCTCACATATTCATTTATTTCACTTATCTATCATGAAAACTTTCAGAAAAATGAAAAAAGGCATGAAAACTGGGTAGTCCATTTTTTCTTGGTTCCAGTGGTAATCTGTATATTATAGGGAACATTCATTATTCAATGTTGTAAGAAATTCAAATAGGTGATATCACCTATTCGAATTGGTGATATCATAAATTCAAATTGAAAACCTCAAAAGGGGTAATTAATTGTATAATGAAGAGTAACGACCGCCTTTTAAATTTAAAAACGGCGGCAATCTTAAAATTGCATTCCTTTGACCTTCTTATTATTAAAACAATTATCATTAATTGCCTACTGACGATAACGAAAAATTCTACCCATTTAACTATGTCAGGAGGATGTAGAAATTTAAATGAAATATTCTTGTATGTTTTAATATTAAGGAAATAAAGAAATGGCATAATTTCAGTTTTTGCAGGATCTTATGAATATTAATGAGAGCTGAATCACGTGGGAGCAACCTCATGAATAAACTGCACGTCATTTCTCCATATGTTGCATTGAATCAGCAATGAAAAATAAACAATTCACAGTGATATATAAACCTTTGGAAATGAAAAATACTCGATAGAGAAATAAAATGAGTTCTAGTGTAAAATTCAATTCTTTTGACGATAGATATGTCCACACAACTGATGAGCAACCCACGATTATTGCTGTCTCATCTGGAATAGCAACCAAAAAGATTGCATTAATCTTTGGTGCTATTGTCGTTGTTGGAATCATTGCTACAGTTGGGGTTATTCTTGGTGTCGTTATTCTGAAGAAAGGTAATAATATGAAATATGTAACACATACTTTTCATCACATAAAACGTAAATATTATCAACGCTAATTTCAATTAGGATAATTTGATGGAAATGTTACATCTAAAATAAATCAAAGATTTCAGGTGTATACAGAAAATATTTAACATTTTAAATAAATAAATAGGGAAAAAAAAATCATTCACAATTTGTCCATAGTTGATAATACTCGTAAATCATTTGCAAATTATATGTTCATATTAATATAAAAATATGTATATTTAAGCATTGAATTAATATGTTTGGATGTCTTCGGTCCTATAACACACCTGGCCGTGTCGACAAATTGAATACCGCGCGTTAGCGCGGGATGATAATTTGTCGGCACGGCCAGGTGTGTTATAGGACCGAAGACATCCAAAAATATTAATTCAATGCTTATATTTACATTCTCTAATTTTCCTTCTTCACAATTGCTTATTTTGTTAATCTTTAATGTGAATTTTGCGCCCTTCAAAACTGCCGTGGTTAATAGATGTAAGAGCTGTTTGTGACGTCAAATGACGTTAAATGACGTTGCAAAGTTAAATTACGAAAACAAACATTGCGAGGAAAAAAAGTAACAAATTAATTCTGAACGTCCATTTCGTTAATTTTACGTTAATTTTTCAGGGTTATAGTTTTTATTAAATTGAAATAAAACATTTTACATCTTGGTGTTCCTAGAGTATTGAAAATGCATATAGTTCCTACTGTGTATTCTAACGCGCGGTGACAAGGTTTCGCGTGTGTTATAGAAATTTGAACGTCGTGGATTTCTAATGGATTTCATAAGGAGAATTACACCGAATGTAAATATTTAAGCATTGAATTCATATTTTTGACTGTCTTCGGTCCTATAACACACCTGGCCGTGCCGACAAATTAAATACCGCGTGTTAGCGCTGTATGTTAAGTCTGTCGACACGGACAGGTGTGTTATAGGACCAAAGACAGCCAAAAATATTAATTCATTGCTTATATTTACTTTCTCTAATTTTCCTTCTTCATAATTGCTCATTTCGTTAATCTTTAATGTGAATTTAGCGCCCTTCAAAACTGACGTGGTTAATAGACGTAAGAGCCGTTTGTGACGTCAGATGACGTTGCAAAGTTAAATAACGCAAACAAACATTGCGAGGAAAAAAAGGGACAAATTAATTTTAAACGCACATTTGTAGTATTTTTACGTTAATTTAACAGGTTTATAGTTTTTAATTAAATCGAGTCAAAACATTGTACATTTTATTGTTCCTAGATTATAGAAAATTCATGTAGTTCCTACTGTGTATTCTAACGCGCGGTGACAAGGTTTCGCGTGTGTTATAGAAATTTGAATGTCGTGGATTTCTAATGAATTTCATAAGGAAAAATATACGGAATGTAAATATTATGATATATTTACATTCGGTGTAATTCTCCTTATGAAATCCATTAGAAATCCACGACGTTCAAATTTCTATAACACACGCGAAACCTTGTCACCGAGCGTTAGAATACACAGTAGGAACTATATGCATTTTCTATAATCTAGGAAGAATAAAATGAACACTGTTTTGACTAAATTTAATTAAAAACTATAACCCTGTTAAATTAACGTAAAAATACTACAAATGTGCGTTTAAAATTAATTTGTCCTTTTTTTTCCTCGCAATGTTTGTTTGCGTTATTTAACTTTGCAACGTCATCTGACGTCACAAACGGCTCTTACGTCTATTAACCACGTCAGTTTTGAAGGGCGCTAAATTCACATTAAAGATTAACGAAATGAGCAATTATGAAGAAGGGAAATTAGAGAAAGTAAATATAAGCAATGAATTAATATTTTTGGCTGTCTTTGGTCCTATAACACACCTGTCCGTGTCGACAGACTTAACATACAGCGCTAACACGCGGTATTTAATTTGTCGGCACGGCCAGGTGTGTTATAGGACCGAAGACAGTCAAAAATATGAATTCAATGCTTAAATATCAACTTAATTGTGCAGAGGACCGCTTAGCTGTGGTTTTATACTAGGGGTAATATGTTCCCAGATTTTCCTGGATTAACTATATATTTATCAAGGTCTCCTGGCGGATTTGATCAATTGACAGGGGATGCTTACTCCTCCTAAGGAACTCATTCCTCCTGTCATGCTTCCAATGGTCCGTGTGCTTGTCCTGTCCAAGATCCATATGATTTACAGGGTTTCTGTGATTGGTTTTTCACATTTTTGTCCCCCATTGAAAATGAGGGATATTTATTTCGATCTGTCCGTTTGTTTGTCCATCCGTCTGTATCTGTATTTCTGTCCGTTTGTAATACTTTCGTTTCCACGCGATTTCCCGAAAAGCCTTTGAGCTATTGCAATGAAAAAAAAAACTAACGCCCTATGATCTGTGGAAGACCACTTTTGATTTTAAGGTCAAAAGTCAAGGTCTTAAATTAAAAAAAAATATACTGTCCGTTTTTACATTTTCCGAGTGGTATTTCCAGAAACCTTTGCTTATCTCAAAATCGTAAAGTTATACATTCGATGTGTGTATAAAACTTTTATTTTCGTGCGATATTTCAAAAAGCCTTTGAGTTTTGAAAATTCAGCTTTATACCATAGCTTTCGATGACCCCTTCCGTGTTTCTTTAGGTGCCTCCCCTCGAGCCCTCCCTAGATTCGCGCATGCTCTTCTTTTCTCCTTAAGCGGGGCCACAGATTCTCTGAATGAGTTTGGTGACAATCCTTTTTGAATACGTTCAAAAAAGAAGATATGAACACTTTATTAAGATTTAAAAAAAAAATTTGCTATACCTATAATTAATTATTCATAGATATTCATTTTTTAAAGCTGTATACAAGTTGCGTTTTCCTTCATGTACACATCTGTAATTTGTTAATGCATAAGTGATTACATCGAGTTACATTTTTCAAGAATATTTTACTCACGTTGCAATTGAGTGCTTCAGAAATTTCTTGTGTTCATATTAATATGAATAATATATTATAATTATATTTAATTGTATATTATTTTCGTTCTGAAGACCATAAAGGAAACGACCAGCCACCTGCAGTTATAAATGGTAAGTATACATTTACTACTTACACACTCTTCACCTTGAAGTCTTGTTTGAATTCACACAGAATAATGGTTATTATTTTTTTTTTGCATAATTATAAAAAGTTGGAATACATGTATTAGATAAATTGCATATTCCGATTAAGAATAAAGAATTCATTAAAATACATTTAAACATAAGACATACAATTTTCTTTTAAGGACCAATAGATGGGAAATGGACTTACTGGGATTCATGGTCAGACTGTACTGTTACCTGTAGCGGGGGAAAACAAAGGCGCACCCGTAGCTGTACTTCTCCTCCACCTATGTTCGGGGGAAATTCCTGTGTAGGAAATTCAGAAGAAATAAGACAATGCTCAACTTGGAATTGCCCAGGTAAGTAAGTAGGACCAAAACTTTTCTATACCTTAGGCTAATAAAAAAAAGGCTGCGTCACTGTTTTGATTTTTAGCCGGGCTTTGCTAAAAGTAAAGTCCTGGCTATAGGCATCATGATCGACTGTCTTACTATAAATAGCACAGTAAACAAAAAAAAAAACAAACAAACAAACAAACAAACAACTTAAAAGCAGACGCTTCCGATAAACGAAATAGTGCCATTGCGAGACGATGTTCAAACAAATATTTTTAATATCCCAATCGTTGGAAAAGTTAATAATCAACATTTCTGCTTGAGAATTAAACTGAGAGAGAAATTACATATTTGCTCTATTGAGAAAATCGTAATATAACAATTTGTGCACATACGCAGCTGAATGCATATTGTAAGGGAACTATTTTCAATTGGGTGGGCTTTTCGAAAGGTTGAAATTGTTGAAGAGTTTCATGTCGCTTGACAAAGTACATGTATCAGTTTTTGTACATGTAGTTGGCGATAAAACTACTGTTTGTTTGAAACTAAAATAAAGAATGTCTCTTAAATATGTGCATTATTTTAACTATTCCAAGACTAAATTTTTAAATTATGAGAAAAATATCTATTGAATAGAAAATATGCAAGAATTTTTTTTTTGGAAATATTATTTGTTAGATTTTAAAATCATGACATATCTTGGGGTCTGGACTGTTAATCTTAATTACTGGTATATGGGATGTTGTTAATTATAATCATACAAACTCTACCTGCTAAATGGCCGAAAGGAAGAAAAAATTAAACATAAACTAATTTCGGTTCAGACAATATGCTTGAGCAATTAAAGCCCGGCTTTCAATTCTTTCAATACTTTGATTTATACTGTGTTTAAAAGTCACATTCATTAAAGCCTTGGATTCTGCTCAGAGCAGATTAAACATTTTTTATATTTTCAGGATGATGGTTTGAAAAATAAAACCAACATCCTGAAAATAAAAAAAAATTCTCTTCTATTTTAAGAAAGAAAAAAATATGGCTTTTAAGACATTCAATAGATGTTTAATTTTGCTTATTTTTCATAAATATGAAATCCTTAATTGCTTTGTTTGGCGATGATCCTATTTTGAAAAAAAAAGTTAAAATAATGGAACCAAAGATTTTGGTACCTCATCTTTACCTCATCTTTTCTTAAAACAGGCCAGGATTCTGACTATTCATAGGAATAACTAGTTATTTTGAATTATTCAACCAAAATTGCATCCATTTAATGGTAATTAAACAGAGGATCGAAAAAAGAGTTATATTGTATACCCTAAGCATTTTTCAACAGTTTCCTGTTGCATGAAAGACACAGAGCTTAATTAAGAAATACAAATTACCATTGTTTGCTGGTTCTAGACTAGTCATTTAAGTGATTCTTTTATCTCTATTTATGAAGAAATTTTAAGATTTTAGCTTCATCAAAAATTCACTTTTTCAAACATATCCTGGAATTTTCTCTACTTTTTCTAACGTATTTCTTTCTCTGAACTGGCTTCAGCGTGCTACCGTAACAAACAACAAACAATTGGTAAAATGCAAACGAGACCTGATTGATAAAAAAAGCAAATAAAGCATAATTCCTTTCACTCGAAATAATTCAAATTTAAAAATTCTATTCAATTTGTGAATATATTTTTCAGATTGTTTGAAGATTCCTAATCTATGGCTGTCCATTTACCCCGAGACGCGTCGAAAATAGAATTTATAAAGAATATGGATGCCTTCATATGTCCATTTGAAAAAGTTTTACATAAAGTTATTTTCGAACTTTCTTCCTACACATAAGGAAAAAAACCCCACTTTTTTGCTGCAGATCTATATTTTCACATAGAGTTATAATAAGGAGATTTATACACATATAATTATATAATTACAAGCTTAATACTCATCGATTGATTGTTTTATTACCATATTTAAATAGAGAGTTTAACGTCACAGAATAATACAAGGCATGCGCCTGAAAAAGTACATAGACAATTTTTCTTAAAGCTCTCTGTTAAGCTTATAGATGAGAAGAAAAGGTATATTTAAATGAAAAATAAAAATACAAATAAATTCACAAAATAATTTCAGATTGTGCCAGGACATGTCCTAATGGTGGAAGTCTTAGTCATAACTGTGAAATATGTGAATGCCCTTCATCAACGATCATTGGCAGGGTGATGGACCGCACCAACTTTACACTTGAAGGGGTTGAAATATTCTTGTCTTACCGTCCATGGAGTCCTATTGCTACAACAAATGTTCGTGGTGTATACACTGTATCAAATATATGCTTCAACTCTACTACCATTTTTGCAAAGAAAAGTGGTTTTTCAATTGCATATGTTACTCCAAGGAGACTGAATGCGACTCACTGGGAAGCATATTTTGAAATAAGAAAATTTGGTTCGTATTGAGATCAGTATACTTGTACATGTAAATGATATAACCTGATCTAATGAGATACAAGTTTGAAAAGTCAAGAAAAAATTAAAAGGATGTCAACTTTAAATTCTCAAAAAAAAAAAAAAAAAAAAGCTCGAAAATTTCGTGTTCTCTAATTTTTAAATGTTGGAATTAACGAGAAAAAATGTTACAAGTTTGAAAAAAGACCATTTACGGAATACATTTTTAAAGCTCCCTTTTCATGTTCCTCTAATCATTGTTTTAAAAAAATCTTTCCCGTAGTTTATATTTAGGTCAAAGCATCTTCATCAAAGTGGGATTATCCTTTGAGATGTAAATTTATTGATTTAAACTTCTTCACATATATGTTTAAAAATTGGATTTTAAGTATTTATGTGTATTGCACATTAAAAGAGTCGAACACATGTTATTAAATTAACTTGGATCTATGTAAAGATTTAATTGTGTACCGGAATGCCATTATGAAGGCATTGCAGTGAATATTTTGTTGCTCACTTTTGTAAGCATAAACATTTCATCTTCAGAAAAACCTTGGATTTCCCGAAAGCCTGTTCCAAAAATCCGATTTGTTGGACAATCAGCCACGTTTTGCTGTGAGGCAAACGGTTTCCCCTTACCCATAGACTTTATATGGTACACTCTTTTGATGAGATTTTCTCTGTAAAGAAATTTTTTTTAATCAATATTAAAAATTATTTAAACTGCCGAAATTTTGTAAAAAATCTCTATCTAAATTTAGGTTCAAAGATGATAACTTATTGCCAGGAATGGGAACAAATGGAAATTTGGTTGTTAGTTCCATTCAGAAATCAGACGCTGGGGCATACTATTGTAAGGCTACCACGGAAGCAGGATCAGTAACATCTGAACGCGTAACTTTAGATGTAAGAGGTATGTAGGATTTACACGAATATTTAATAATTTATTTTCTCTACAAAGTATTGCAGAAAAAGAGGTGTTTAATCAATTGCAATCAACATTTCTCTTCACTCAACACGTGAATTGGAATTTGCATTAGATTTTCATAATGATTATTTGAAAAGAAAAAAAAACACAATGTAAAACACTTACTAGACTACTGGTTACTAGAAGTAAAAAAAATATTGGTGACGGAATAGAACAGAGAGAGGTTGTATTTTAAACAAGGAAAAATAAATTAGTGCTTTCAATAGAAATTGGCCCTGTATTTTTCTACAATTATGAAGTGATGTAAGAAATTAAAATTGATCATCTCTGAATTAATGAAATTTCATGCAGTAAAACATGTAAATCGTTTCTCCAATATGACCTCCTAAATGATTATTATTACGTCATGAAAATGTACATCTCCCGTACTTGTTTTAAAGTCACAGAAGACATGTACATCTATTTTAGTGAAATTTTCTTTCAAAAAACATACAACGAATGCATCGCCCACAAAGATTTGAGATATGTGATTTTTCAGAGCATTTTACACAACATATCTAAAACTTTGAGTATGTGAGGGCTGCGGACACTATTTTCTAAAGGCAAATAAGCACAAAATAAGTCATTTTCTGTGTAAAACTTAAAAATAATCAAGTTATGGTCGTCATATTTCCAGAATAATCATCCTTCATGCCAAATGTTTTAATGAATTATCATATTCATCTACTTAACTCATGTTTTAGACAATTTCAAAACTTTTTAAGAACATTATTTTTAGGGTAGACCAAGTCGTACCTTCGTTTTAAAATTATTTTGTCTTAAGTAAAATAATAGAAGTAAAACATCTTTTTAGATACCTCTTATGATACCTGCAATCCAGTACCTACAGTGAAGGAAGAAACTCTACCAACTGGCTGCTATTTTAATGATAAAGGCAACAGTAAGTCAGTAGTAAACGTCGGAAAATGTCCAAATAGTAAATGCATTACAAATACCCTAGCTGACAATGGTACATGCGAAGATTGGTGGCCTCCTCACTGCTGTGACGTATCCCAAACAGAGACAATTGAAATAGAATGCTCTGGAGGGTTTACCTATCCGATCACGAAAGTTATTTCTTGCAAATGTCGCGAAAACGTGATAAACACTCTTCTAAATGGAATAGCGTATGGTGTACAAAACGGAACTAGAATTCCTTTTGTCCGAGGAGAAGTCATGATAGACGGCGAAGTGAAATCTGTAACTTCGGCGACAGGATACTTTTCTGTCAATGTATTAGGAGAGGTTTCTCGTGTTGTCATGAACTTGCGTAATGATAGGTCTGGCCAACTCTTAGATACAAAAAGAGTGATAGATATTTCATATGGTACAACGACCTCCATTGATATCCACGTTCCACTAAAACCGGCACCAAAAACTTTCAACACACATCTCGGATTTGATATACCCCTCGGGATGAAAAATGGAAACTCAGCAACTGCGAGGTTATCAATCGCAGCAGGCAGTGTTGTTGATGGAAATGGTAATGCTTTTGACGGGACAGCAAACGCACGAGTTCATTACGTTGATCAACGGAATTTGGAAGATCTCGATGAGATGTACGGAGAATTAAGATTTACAGACGAAGAGGGAGATTCTGTTGACTTAGAAACATTTGGTATGCTTCAGTTATCCGTAGAAGACAACTCTGGAACACCTTTATATGTAAACGGAAAAATCAAAATGTCGCTTGATCCAGCACCTTTAAATTTGTCAAACGAAGGTGAAAATCTGCATTTGTATAGCTTAGACGTTAACACAGGAAAGTGGGTTGATCAAGGACTAATGCCGTACACTTCTTCCAGTGGTTCAAGTCGTAAACGAAGGTCAACGGGAGGAAATCTTGAGGGTATTGTCACAGATGCTATTCCAGTTATAGATCTAACACAGATAGTTGATAATATTATTAAAGTAAGCTATACCAGATTAGTATCTTTAATCAACATAAGCCTAAGTAGACCTCGTATATATCGTATTATAACTGAATATCGGACAGTTGTTTCTCATGATGTTGTCACGCGACATGATGCATGCTTTGTAAGAGTGAAAGCGTACACTGACTTTACATTTCGCAACGCAGCTGATGGTGTTCGAATTATAGCAGCGACAAGAACTAAAAATGGAGGGCCATTTAGAGGGAAAATGTCCATGATAACGAACAATAATGTTAATAGTGGGATTTTGTGCATGCCGATATTTTGTAATTCTGATGTGTACCTCGCTGCAGAGAAAAATGGAAAATATTACGCTTCAGACAATCATATTTTACCCTCCGTAGCTGAGTCAGTGAACGTTGCAAATGGTACACAAGTCAAACTTAATTCAGATTATGTCAATCGGGAAGGACCAGTTTTCCTTTATCAAAGACGACCACAATGTGAAGATAACGCATTTTCTAGCTTTGTGTTTCAGTTTGCCCCTCTCTTAAAGGAAGGCGAACGTAATTCGTTGTCTGGAGATAACGTACATAATCAAATAAATTCTTGGTATACCGAACCTTCAACTAGTCCCTTCAGACGAACATGCTTCATGAAAGTGAAAGTAGTGGTATGTAATCATTTTATTGTTTATTGTATGCAATTGTACCTAAAAATGCTTCTTTTAAGAAAATTAAAATCATCCTCTGAAACTATTTCAAGTGAAAAAAATGTGTAATTATATTAATAATTTCAAAGTTTCATATTTCTTTTAGTCCAATGAACATACTCTGCGGGCAATAGGAGTCAGTAGGATGGAATATGTAAGCAATGTACCTTTCTTTGGAACTTTTCAAGCACCAATTATATGGGATGAAACTACAAATAATAGGAGAGAAAAAGCTGCTTGCATAGAATTTCGATGTCCTGGAAGACTCATTGATGGCACCAACGTAATCAATAACATAGCCACACTTCTGAGGGTACAAATTCTGAGTCAAGAAGGTCATGTTTGCAATATTACGTAAGAATTTACTTTATTTTAATCATAATTTCAAAAATGTGATTAGAAATCCTTAATGTGTGAGAAACATGAAAATTTTATAATAAATTCTAAAAACTTTTTTTTTCAGAAACGTGGCAAGTGGACTTAATATTACTCGTACTTCAAGCATACTTGGTGGAGGTTTTGAGTTTCGGGCAGATCCAAACGACAATTACGGCGTCGGAATGGGAGTATTCATCCGAACGTTTCCCTTTGAAACTGCTAGATCTACCTGTCGCACTGGCTTAGACTCAACAAATATTAGCCCAATTATGAAGCCCAATTCAAATCCAGCAGTCGAATTGGAATGCATAATCTAACAAAGATTTATAATCATTGCTTTTATTATTTTCTTTGATAATGTATTTTAATCACCTTTTATGATGTCAGTTTTATTAATCATGTTAATGGTGTTTCTAATTTGACCATTTAATTCCGTCATTTGTTAAGCAATATTTGTGACCAAATCAAGGACAGACAAACTAATTTTTAAACATATATATACATGTCTTAAATATTGTTCAATATGCTGCTACCATTATGTTCATGTTTTATGTTTGTAAGCTAGTAAAATGTCTATTAAATATAAGCCATTCAAAATAAGTCTTTCTAAAAAAAACTTATGAATGTTATTTATTCCTTCATCAGGTACATTTTTATGTCATTGCAATTCCCACTTCCGGGTTCATTACATAATTGCTTTCCAATGCATTCTTCCCTGTGTAACAACTAAACTGAGCATTCATTTTCTTATCCCGATACACTCCGACATTTGGGCCATAATTACTGTCAGGGATAAAAGTTCCAATGAAGGGAGAGTCTGTGGTATTTATGTTAGATTTGGTCTTTAGTTCATCCGAAAGCGATCTGGAAAAAAATCAAACATTGCCTATCTCGAGCGCACTAAATAACATTAAGAAGTAAGGTATATGAAATAGAAAAACGTCACGTATTGTCATAATAAAATACTTACATTAAGCTGCATGTTGAACCTGGCACTTTAGATATATATGCAGTTAAAATGTTAAAAATAAAAAAAATTATTGTTAGATGAGTCATACATGGGACATCTAAACTCAACGCAAACTGCTCGTTTGCCATGCCTGTTTCCTTTTAGCGGTGCGCTGAATGTTCCAAACCAAAAACCTGTTTCTTCGCTATAACTTTTACCGACCGTTCCCGTGGACACAAGATTTGTCTGAAATAAAACATAATATTTTTTTGCAAACCACCTTTATCATGTTTATCGAAAATTAAAAAAAAAATATCTCGTTTTGCGAAATTTCTTAAAAGAATTAATGGTCTATATCTCCATATCAATTACTGTATATTAATCGTATTTTTGCTTGATAGAAAGTATACAATTGTAAACTTAAATAAGAGGTACTGTATGCAATGAGTAATGATGCACTCCCATCTGGTTACAATGACAAAGTCGGTATTTCTCCCTGGCAGATCCGAAAATGTAAAGGTCCCATCAAATTTAATTCAGTATAGGATTAACGGATAAAAGATGGACACTCTTAAGCGCAACACACTGTCGGACGGATCAACGAATGGACGACAGTATAGACGGAAGGACATCCCGATTACTTTATATACGTAACGCTTTTGCTTTTCAATCGGGGAGGATTGACTTGATACAGCACCTCAATCCAAATAAGAAAAAAAAAGTATGTGTAAATTTAATGACTTCACCTTCACGACAACTCGTTTGCATTATATTGACGTCTTATTCTAGTTTACTTTGACTGAATGGCTACTTGTAGTTCAGAAAAGAGAAAGTGCAGAGTAATCCTTAACATAATTACCGACGAAGGATTTTATACACAAACCTTTCGCACAAGGAGGAAAGCTTCATCATATTGGTATTGTAAAAATAAAAATACAAATTGCGGCAATTATCGCTATTAAAAAAAAACATTTTTAATTTTTTGTCCTGGAATTGAAGTAAAAACATGTACACTAAATATCATGACAATGCTGAAATTTTACCTTTATTTGAATTTTCACAAAGCAAGCTTCTTGAATGAACGCTGGATACTAAGAAGTACCAAAATCGTATTCTTTTGCATCAGGATTTCTTGTTAGTTTTCCCGAGAGACCTTGGAAATGAAAAGAAAAATATTGTCGTTTTGTGTTTTGTTCGGCACACTTTTCATCATTTGTGAAAATCGAACCATTTGTGTTGAGGATTGCAAATTTAATTTGTTCAAAATCTATGTTGATTTCCTCTCGGTATTCCCTAACAGTATATATAAATTTTGGTAAAATATTTTTTTTCTTGAAGCGGTAAGTGCTTTTATACGACAGCGTATTCGTGCCACTGACAATGTAGAGAATTTTAAAATAAAATCGTTTGTACGATTTTTTAATCGTTTGTACAATTTTTTAAAATAGTATTTAGGATTTTTGAAATTGTTTGAACGATTTTTTAAATCGTTTGTACGATTATTAAAATCGTTTGAATGATTTAAAGAAAAATCGTTTGTCGATTTAGAAAATCGTTTACGATTTGAAAAATCGTTTGTACAATGTTTTGTCTTGTTATTGCACGTAGAAGAAGCGTAGTAGAAAACCTTGCACAAGTAGAACAACGTATCCAGACATAGTTTTAATGAATGGCAGAGAAACATTGATCAAGGGGTATTTCAAAATGGGTTTAACTTTTTAGGAAATTGCACAGATCCTTTCGCAAACTCAGCGAGTCTTTCTTAGTGAATGAAAGTTGAAAAGGACAAAGGCTTAGTTGGGACTGTTCATATGTAAGAACAAATCCGACATATGGGGATGTAGCTTTTTTTAATTGAGGAAACACTTGAGTCATGTGGTCAATTGCATGGATACAGCTGATTGTACTGGAAAACTGTTATGCAGGATTTACATGTACCGTTTCTCAAGAAAATATTCGATGTCTTCTTTCTATACAAGATTAAGATTGTACAAGTCCAAATTAAGTATGGCATGTAGATGGATATGACAATATACATGCAGTTTAACTGACAAGATACGAATTATTATTAATTAGTGTTTCTGTACCTGTTACAGTCGGCAGCGAAGGGACTTCCTTATACAATATTGCAATAAAAATAAGAACAAAAAATTTAGAAAATATACTGTAAGATGTTTTAATTCCACGGTTGTAAAATTTCACGATTTCTGAAAAAGTACCAATGGCGATGGTTTTAATTTCACGCTGCAAGAACTTGATTTCAATTTCGTATACGCACTATAACATTTAAAAAAAAAACAATAACAGCGTTTACGATGGGTTTAATTTCGCGGAAAAATGACGAATCGCGAACATAGTGAAATTAAAACCATCGTGAAAATTTGCCAATCTACAGTATTTATGAAAAAATAAACAAGAGACACAGAGAGACTTGAGCAAGTCTAGTCGATACGATATATCCTGGTGAGCTTGAGATAAAAGATACCACAGAGTCTGACACATCTGTTTCATACTTGGATATTTTATTTGAAAAAGACTTTAATGATAATCTAACAACCAAGCTATATGATAAACGTGATGACTTTAAATTTTCTATCGTCAACTTCCTTTACTTATGCAGCAATATACCTTCATCACCTGCATACGGAGTCTATATATCTCAGTTGATTCGATACGCAAGAGCATGCTCTACGTATGAATAATTTCTTAAACGAGGTAAATTATTGACAAGCAAGTTGATGAAACAAGGATATCAACAGTCTCGTTTAAAGTCATCATTTTGTTTTTATGGTCGCTACAATGACTTTGTCAGTAAATACAATTTATCATTGAGACAAACACTGACTGACGTTTTTCATACTTATTGTTAATCCATTATTTATACACTGAATTGACGACGGATTTTCCCGTTATTTCCCAATCATAACAAGGAGCACACGGCGGTCAGCAGGGAATGCTCACTCCTTCATGGCATCTGATCATACCTCTGATGTTTCGGAGATCCGTGTTTGCTCTGCTCCAATTTTGTATTGTTTTATGGAGTTTGATATTGAATACTGTTATCTCCATATCCTTCTTAAGCTTAAAGTAAATGAAGCTCTTTGACACACTATCAAAAACCCAAGTTTGGAAAGTAGTAAACATTAGAATGAAACTAACTTTTACATGATTAACATTCATTTTCTGTATTTTTCATATTCATCCTGTTGTATATTCATTTTTATATATGCATGACTTTTCCTGTTCTTCTGTCTTTCTTTACGTGATATATCATTAGAGAAAACGTTCCAAAAATAATTTCTTAGGAATCCAATTAATTGTTAATTAAAAGAAGAGTACGAATTAATAGTCAATGTATTCAAATCAGAACTTACAAATAATGATATTTATTTTAAAAATATATTTGCTATTGCCAATAACTTTAATCTATTAATAACTTATAAAAATTTACTAAAAAATTATTCCCATTTCTTTTATACTGTTAAAAGTAAGATATTTCTATTAGTCTGGTCAGATTAATAGAAAAAATACTTCTAACGGCAAATAATTATTATTTGGTCCAGCATAGTCTTGTAACCTATTTCAAGTATGCTGAATCTGAAAAAAATATGCTGGCATTCATGAAAATGGCGTTAAGGAGGTTAAAATGGCGATTCAAAATGGCGGACATCAAATTTTTCTAATTTTATCTAAATGCCGTTCAAAATGGAGAAGTAATGAGTGAATATCTCACTGAGTGTAATACAAGTATAAAAATCATAACAGAATGCTAACATTATTAGTTTAACTCAGAAAATTTAGTCATTTCTACACTTAATACGAATTCTCTCTGATTTATTTGTTTATTGTTTCATATTCTGCTTTGTTCAGGGTTTTACACTTGCAAATATCCATACACTGCAGATTTGTATTTTTTCCTCTGCATCTCAATATTCTATAATTGAATAATGGTGCAGCTGTACGTTAAAAGTCAAAATGGCGATTCAAAATGGCGGATATTCATCTTTCAAATTAATATCGTTTACATAGGAGAAGGATTTGTGAATATCTTACTGAGCGTAGGACAACTATGTAAAATGCCAAAAGAACACTAATATTATCACTTAAATTCGGAAAATTTATTCGTTTAAATTTGAGAATGTGTTCATTAGCTCAAAATGTCGTTCAAAATGACGTCATATTCACTCGAATTTCGTTATATACTTTATTCCTTGATTCTTGGTCGTTTTGCATAAAATAAGTCATAGTTTGTTTTTTACATGTATGTATATAGTATATTGATAAATCCATGAAATATGAACAAACAAAAACTACTACAAAAGATTAATTTTTTCTTGAAATAGTTTAAACAAACTTGATTTAAGAGTT